CTTCCAACTATTTATGAAACTATTGTAACTATGTAAAAAGTGGGAGAAATAAATGTTTATTATTATTATGTCTCCGTTTTTCTGTGTGTTTTTTGAAATAAAAAGGTGAGTTTTATACTTTTGTGTATTCCTTGTAATATAACAAACACGTAGATATATAATTTGTGGCATAAAAGTGAAAAGTAAGTGTCAAAGTACTTCGAAATCGAGAAGGCCGATTTTAGCGGTTGGGTCAAAATGTGTTATTTTTCCAATTCTCATTTATTTTTAGTGTAAAATGTAACTAAAAAATAGTTTTATAACACATTTCAAATAACTTGACGTTGTATTTATTTCAAATTCACACAAAAATATATTTGAAATATTGTTCGAAATTTCATACAGATAAAAATTAATTTCGTTTTTTTTTATTTTTATTTTGGTAAAAATATACATATTTCCAAACATTTTCATATAGTTTTCTCGAAAAACAAACGCGTAGAATTCAAATTGGTAGTAATTTTAGACTAAAAGTGAAGTATCTACTACTACTATGCTATAAAGGGTAATTTATGAATTTTATTACAATTTCTAGCAACTAAAAATAATAAATATACATTCAACAAGAATTTCTGTAAGTTTTATCCATAAATATTGTCTCAAAGTGAAAATATAGCAAAATTTGCAAGTTAGCAAAAAAATTTGCAATTCCCGCCATTTTAGGTCGCGAGCCAACAGAAGTATCGAATAACGTCGCCTTCCGAACATACAGGTTAAGCTAGCTTGGCCGTAATTTGGTTTGAAGGACAGAATTATTTTATTATGACCACGCTCTCACAGAATACCAGCGTAAAATAGCAGCTTAACGCTGCTGTGGTATGGTGGGTGTAAAGAATCGGTATCCTCACGGGTGAGAACGCATCTGTATTTTGATTCGTAATCGAGGATAGATGTAGATGTCTATGGGCCACAGCAACCACTTACCATCAAGTGGACTGTGCTGTGTGCTCGATTGTCAACCTTATCCTATAAAAATATTTTTTATGATAGAATAATTTTTACTAAATAAAGCTTAATCTTTCATCCAAAAGTAAAATTACTGTTTTCATAGTCCAGCAACAATATTACCTTAAATAGTATCTATCGCTTGGTAGTTCCTACTTCCCTTAATGTTAATATTATTAATAACCTTGTATAAAAAAAAAGCCTTAACTTCTAACTGTATTAAGTGTAAGTTAAGGCTTTTTTTTAACATATATAGTTGAAATGTTAACTGTAAATGTAAAGCTTAACCAACTTACAATTGTAGCAATCTTCCTTAGGTTAATGAATTAAGTAGGGTAATATAATAGTATTGCGTTTTGCATTTTTTTTTTAAGGAAATTACTTGAAGTAGAAAGATATTGTAATGCTGTAATAACTCACGTTTTTATCTCTGCTTAATATTTGATAGTGTTTGCTCACGATTTATTGCTAATGCTTGAAATTTTAGATATTTAAGTCCATTTCCAGTAAAAGTTGACCTACAACTGTTGACACTTACATCCGTGATGCACTTTATTCATGCACCAGCTGTATGCCCGTTACATCTTCATGTAGACTGAGATATCAACGATTTTTTGCACTGGTCGCATTACAGTCAACTCTCAAGTGTTCAACTTTGCTTATTCTAAACTGTTTTTTGCTAAGCACATTTTGCCAACAAACAGTTTTTACATTTCATGTAGTCTAACAGGAAATATTTTATAGAGTGCCTTAAAAGCTTAAGTGTTGCTTATCCGCTGCCGTACACTGCATACTAGAAATAAAAATAGGATTTAAATAAACTGTTTCTATGCAATGTTTACCTTAAATTAAATTAGTTTGTGGCAATGGAAAAACAATTTTACAGCAATACAAAACCAAAACGGTTGTAATATCATTATTAATCACGATTGAAATAATTTTTGGTTGTAGCAAGTAATGACTGTTAACAATATTCATCTGAACATACTCATACAAGCATGTTCACATAAATATTGAAAAGTACTTGTATATAAATATTGATTTAAAAGTACTTGAATATAAATATTGGAAACTACTTGTATTGAAAATTTTGGAATGTAAAAGACGTCAATTTACTCCAAAACTTCAATATCAACGTAGTGGGTGAAATGCACGAAAAGTAGACAGTGGATATATTTTGTTTTTCTCCAACTGGTATACATGAAAAATATTCTATTTTTGTAATTTTAGCAACGTAAATTTTTTTTACTTCTTTTTTTCAATGAATTATGCATGTACTACTACAATCTGGTTAAATAAAACGTAGCAATGTTACATTCATAATAATGATTAGACTATTGCAAAAGGCTATCTTCCTAATTAGTGATGAGACTTAATAATTTATTTATTTTCCTTAAAGGGCAGCCATGCACTGCCCTATTAATTAAATACCTAGTACTGATGAGAATTGAGTGAATTAAAATGTTAATTATTTGTTTTTGTTTTTAATTTTTGATCCTTTTATGTAAACTCGCAAGGAAAGCATTGCTGATCATGTACATTGTTAAAGCGTCGTAACTGCCAAACCATTATACCGCTCAGGCATCCAAACGCGCACCCCGCGGCGGCTCTAAACGACATAATGGTATTGTTTACAAAAAACGTTATTTATGACTACATCAGAAGGAAATGACCCTTGAATGGCGGTTTTTTTAACGGGAATTAATAAATCTTCATTTCTACACAAGTCCTGTTAAGATTTATGGATTCTTGTAAAAATAATCAGCGCTTCATCAAAATACGTGTATTTCGAAATTTAAAGCGACGACCGATATATTTTATATTTTTAAATGCATTGTGAATCTTTTTTCTTTTTCAATCTTTATAAAAACACACACATAGTATTGGAGAAAAAAAATATTTCGAGACTTCAGTCTTGAAAAATTGTCTGCTCAAATGAAGTATTTTTTTTATTTGGCGGATGGATACGAGTGTTGTTAGAACTAAAAAAGGTTGGGAATTTAGTACAGAATTATTTAAAAATCAAGATACGCTAATTTAAACTGTATTTCGTAGCAGGAAGAACTTTTAGAACGCAAGATCGTCGGGTACTGAATAACCCATGCTCGTTTTACGCCATTTTCGATTTGTGTAATAGACTACCTACCCATGGCCGCTTGAGGGGCTAAGATGGTTCAAAAAGTGACGTCAAAGAGAAAAATTTAAATTCCTCAGGGGAATCCGAAAACACCCCATTTATGTTACCCGAATTTTTGTAGATTCAGAGCTATAATTTTTTGTATTCTTAGTGTTTTCTGTTGTTGGGGCTTAAAAAATTCATATCTTTTTTGTTGTAATTTTCAGATTTTCTTTTTGTGACATGATCGTATTAAATGACACTTTCACACATACAATAGTAAACTTCCTAACATTATGTACTGCAAGTTACTCAAAAAAGTAACGAAAGTAAGAATTTTTGTTTTAGTGGAGTAGACTCATATTTTCAACTTCAATATAAAAATATATACAAATAAGAGCTTTCATAGATATTAGTCGACTTTTAAAACTTGGCAACTCCCTACACTACTCCCTAAACTATCCGAAACATTAAAAAAATTAGTACTTAACGAGCTTATTAAACTTATTATTCGCTATAATAAGTAGAGATGGGCCGAATATTCGTTTTATATTCGGTATTCGGCATATTCGGCAAGGTTTACCGAATATTCGTATTCGGCCGGTCACCGAACATTTTCATGTATTGAAATGTACGAATTAAGTAATGCGATGTACTTTACTGTTGAAAGTATATTTTATTTATGGGTTAAATCTACTTACTCTAAGAGTGCCTCAAATGCATAAATCTATACATTTATGTTTTTGAGGCACTGTGGATTTATTTCCGATTATGGCTAATAGAAACTTCATAAAATGTTTTTGGAATCAAACAAAGAAAAATTAAATTACATTAGTACATTTCACTTTACTTTGGTCGTCAGTTTCTCTAAAATAAGTCCAAATAGTAAATCTCCTGCCGCTCATTTTTATCATATAATTATCAATTTTCACTAAGAATAAAATTCTTACGGCTCTTTACCTTATTCACTAAGAATAAAAGAGCCATGGTAGCTCAGATGGTTAGCGCTCGCTGTAAATTTCACAGTGCACAAAACATCGTGAGGAAACCTGCATGTCTGAGAAATAAGAAAAAAATTATTTCGAAGACATGTGGAGTTCGCCAACAGGTATATTGGGACAGTGCGGTGGACAATTCCTTGCCCTATAACCCTCTCAGAAATGAGCGGAGGCCTGTGACCAGGAGTGGGACGTATATAGGCTATAACTTTAATTAAGAATAAAACAACGAAATACTTTTTTATCACAAGAATAGTCAAAACATAAGCATGTGCCGGCAATTTGCTCAGTACTAGATAATGCAATAACATGTCAGGTGTGGCTGGAAACGAGAGGCATGGTCCGGCGCTAATCCCGTGTGCTTTACGGTTAACAAGTTTCGACGTAAATTGGTTAAGTCCCGAGGTTATCCTGCCGAATAATGTTCGGCCGAATATTCGGTTCGGTAAAAATTTAACCGAATATTCGTATTCGGTGAAATCCATATTCGGCCCATCCATAGTAACCCTTCGAAGATGGAAAAGCTAAAATCCACTAACATTTTTTAAAGCTTTAATAAGTTATTTTGCATAAATTTTTATCAATCTTACATAAATTCAAGCATTAAAATGTAATTGTTATACCTAACTTTCACTACAATACTAGTAAAATAACCCGAGCTAGACACGTACAGCACAATGATTCATAAATTGAGCTGACTATTAGACCGATTTTTATCTGCTCCCCCCCCCCTCCCTCATACCCCTCTACGCTGACGCGTCTAGTTCTCTCTAGTCTCTAGTTAGTTTATTCTCTTAGGGCCGAAACACATAAGCGCGTTGCGGCGCCGCGCCGCTGAAATCGGCAGTGCGCTATAGCGGTGCGGCGCCGCAACGCACGACGTGAATTCCAGCGTTATGACGTCATACTTGTTGACAAGGATGCAGTTTGTTTCTAACACTCTTGCAAACAACACGTGTCAACCGAGAAGCAGTTTTAAAATTAAAATGTCTGACGTTGACGTCGATCTGTTTATATCTTCGGTTCAGGAACACCGTTGTTTGTGGGATACTTGTGACGAAACCTATAAAGACAAATTTATAAAACAAGAAGCATGGAAAAGCATTTGTGAGATCGTTTATATTGATTACAAGGAAAAAAACTCAACCGAAAAATCAAAACTGGGTAAGTAGTAACATATAGTCTTAGGCAATGATATTTTAAACTAAAGATAAGTTACGTTCATAGTAATTTACGTTTTAAATCTGTTCCTGTGTTTAAATCATTACCTCCCAGCAATCCAAAACTGCACACATTTGCAAGTTTTACTGATAAGCAAACCAAAAGATATGAAATAAAACGCAATTGAAAGAGATAGCTATAATTTTAATGGTTGCACTTCAAACGTTTCTTGTGCATAGAGTAACATTTATAGTCGTAGAGTGGACACTTGATTCAAAACTATTCAAAAGTACATAGATAAGAAATAAAACATCTTACAAAAGTAAAAATAATAAGGTATTATTTGTATTTTGAACTGAGTAGGTATACGAACATTCATATTTTCTTTAATTGCCAACTTAGGGCGCCAACATCACTGGAAAAGTAATTACAAAAATCATTCCGTATTAGATGTGGGCTTAAATTATTTTCATTTGCTGTGGGCAAATGCAACATTTGCAGATCAGAATCATCAAAGATAATGTCATCGGTCGCTTGTACTCCATCTCGATTCAAAACAAAGTTGTGCATTACACAACATGCCTTGATAATGTCTGTCGCAAATTCGTATTGCACATTCATAGATCGATGAAATATGCGCCATTTATTGGCTAGGATGCCAAAAGCGCACTCGACATATCTTCGGGCACGACTCAGTCGATAATTGTAAACTCTTTGTTGTACCGACAAATGTTTTCCTGAGTAAGGGCGCATGACGTTATTCGAAATTGAGAATGCTTCATCTCCTACAAAAACAAATGGAGTTTCATTTTGAGAACCTGGTAAAGGCTTTGGTACAGGAATAGGTAATTTGCGTGTCATAATCAAATCATAAAGTTTAGAGTTCTGGAAAACGGTGGAGTCACTTTCCTTGCCATACGCTCCTATATCGACAAAAATGAATCTATATCTAGAATCTACAAGAGCTAATAAAACTATTGAATTATAGCCCTTATAATTGTAAAACAGTGATCCACTGTGCGCAGGACATGTAATACGGACATGTTTACCATCAAGAGCTCCTATGCAGTTAGGAAAATTTGCTTTCTTGTCAAACTCAATAGCGACATCTTCTAGAACCTGTTTTGTTATAGGAGGTATATTTTGACTTGATAGATGTTTCCATATGGCGCGACAAACTGTCCTTACAATTTTTGCTATTGTACTTGCTCCTCGGAAGTAATTCGTATGCATGGTTTTAAAGTCACTGCCGGTTGCTAGAAATCTAAAATGAAATAATAATTAGTAGGCAAATAATAAAATAATACAAATGTAGGTATAATCAAACTCAAACCGCGCAGGTAATAGTGTTGCTAAAGGAATAGATTTTCAAAGATAGACAGGTAGTTTTTCAAAGAAGTACTCAATAAATATTTTACATTATGGTTGTTCTAGGCAAAGTCAATCAGTTTTTAACTTGCCTAAGTCAAGAAAAAGCAGAAAATTATTCTTTTTCGGCGGCCAGCCATTTATATGAAATTGGATGGACCGAAAGTACTTATGAAAGTTATATCAAATTTTATATGTAGTATAAATGGAATCTAGGGAATTTTAGTCTTTATTACTATTTTTCACTTGTGAAGTTTTTTGTTGCAGGTAATGATTTAGTCAAGAAGTGGAAGGCCATAAAAGATAATTTTGCTAAATATCAAAAAAAACTAAAAGATGCCAATCGATCAGGAGCTGGAGCTGCAAAAATTAAAGAATATCACTTGAATAAACAATTACAGTTTTTGAAAAAGGTTTCACAAAATGCAACTGATTCCAGTTTATGCGTAGCGGAAGGAGATATTGAGAATGAAATAACGGCATTGCCTCGTTATAAAAGTCAACCACGAAAACGAAAGGCAGATGATAAGGATGATATTGAAGAAGATTTATTGGCAATATTAAAAACACCGGAGAATAGACATTTGCATTTTTTCAAGGGGATTTTACCATCTCTACAATCGTTAAATGAGAATCAAACATTGATATTTCAAAGTCGGGTGCTTCAAATATTAACCGACATTCTTCAACCTTCAATTCATCAAAATACACATCACGGCTATAATCAAGAATATCAGCATCAGGGTTACAATCAAGGATATTCAACTATGAGATACGATAATACGGTTCAGAGTGGCTACCACACTTCTACTCCTGGAAGTTCGATTACTGAACAGAGGACTACCTCATCATCAAACCAACAACGTCCAATAAATTCACCATTTTTACTGGACGAAACGTCAGCTACTTCCTATGTTTCACAAGATGAGGAGTTTGATTTTTCTTAAATTGATCATTACATTTTTTAAGGCCTATTAAAGTATTCTTAAAGTAAGAAAATTGTATAATGCAAAAAGCTTAATTTGATTCTGTCTTGTTTCATTTGAACCTGGCTTTGTACCACTAGGTACCCCCAAACCATGAACACTAGTGATGCAAAATTTTTATCGACACCCCGCTAGTACCACAGGTGTATAAAGCCAGGGGTACAAATAAAACTAAACATTTGATTCCGAGTGCCATAAACATCAATAAAAAAAATAAGAAACCTATTTGTTTTACCTTAAAGTTAAGCCCAGCATTTCCAAAGCAGTAACTGGTTTTCTTCCTTTATTTTTTTTCTTCTGTATATATTTTGATAACTCGCTTAATAGCTCTTCAAATGATGATATACTCATTCTAAAGTAGGCAACAAATTTTTTTTCGTCTATCTTTAATGCTTCGTATTTTTTAGAAAAGAACTCGCCATTTGGATTCATACCCTTACTTAATGGATGTATCCAGTATCTTCTTTGCCGTATTTTTAAGATAGAATAATGTCTTCTTAATAACAAATAAGCAATAAGTTTATTACGATCCATCGCAGAGAGACGTCTATCCACACTCAAAAATCACGAGAATGGTTGCCCTACCATAATGCCCTGTTTCGCGACGCCGCAACGCGGCAACGCAACTGCCGATTTTGGCGTTGCGGCGCCGCAAAAATAAGCAGTTTGCGTTATGTGTTTCGGCCCTTACTGCCATCGCGCGTGGAAAAACTGTTCTCGTTGATGTTATTTTCGTTTGGTTATTCACTATATATAAGTCAATAAGCAGAGATACATTATTATTATGGCGTTGCCCAAGGCAATTGTCGTTCAGCTGCAAGGCTTTACCTATCAAGAGGCACTGAGAAGGACTGCTGGAGCGTTACCTGGATCGTAGGGTTTTTATAAACGTACATAATGCCCTGAAACTAGACGTGTATCTGTCGCAATCAATCTCGTGAACCAGTACTACCCAATACGGATCAGGTTGATAAAGTCGTGGAAGAAGTCCAAAGAGACTCGTTACCCGTTTACCGATACTTTTATTTGGAGATTTTACAAGGGGCTGGTGTACGCGCAGGAAGTCGATAACGAAGAAGAATTGAGAGAAAATCTGTATATAGCTGCAAGAAAAATTTAATATCAGACAGTTAAAACATAACTTTTTAAAACATTGTCTTTGTATTGAAGTAGGAGGACGTCATTTTGAAAACTTGATAAACAAAATAAATAAAAATAAACCCAAGTAGTACCGGCCAGCCGTTAGTACCCGTAAAATAATACACCTTATTTCTTTGAATATTTACAAATTATCATCTTCATCGGTCAATTTGTGTACATTTGGATGCATTTAAGAATTTCCCACTTAAATTTGCCGTAAGAATGACAAAATAATTTTTTAAAGCTTAAAAACAATTTTCTGGATTTTTAGCATATCCACCTTCGTAGGTCGATTGCAGCGAATAATAAGTATTTACCAAATTTTTAATGTTTCGGATAGCTTAACGACCTGGCAAGTTTTAAAGTTAACTAGAATCTATAGACACTCCTTTTTGTATTTTTAAATTGAAGTTGAAAATGTGAGTTTGTTTCATTGACTTATATATTACTAGCGTAGTTTGTTTGAGAAATGTTAGTATTTAATATGTGTTTTATTCAAGACGATCATGTCAAAAAAAGAAACTGAAATATAACTACTACAAATAGATAAGAATTTTTCCAGCCACACCGGCAGAAAACACTAAATGTATACAAAAAAAAAAATATCGATAACTACAAAATACCCCATGTGTATTTTCGGATACACCTGGGTGTGAGCAATTTAAATTTTTCTTTTGAATGTCACTGTTTGGACCATTCTGTATACATCGTCATCATAATCGTCAGTCGGGCTATGTGTACTGCTGAACATAGATCTCTCCCGTTGCTGGGAGGTTTGCATTAATAATGACGCTTGGCAGGCGGATCGACGACTGCTGCTCGTCGCGTCGCCTATCTGAGGTAAATACCTCTTATCTTACATCCTACATAAGATTGGCTAGGTGATATAAGCGAATATTTGGATGGCCTAAAAATAGTGGTTCCAGTGGGGGCCTAGACAAGTGGCAATCGCTCCGTGTCTATTCCATTTCGAAAATCGATTTCGTCTTAGCGATATCGAACTGCTAATTGCTAGACAACGATAAAGAAAACTAATAACACGAACGATATTATCTTAGCAATGCGTAGACAAGTGGCACTTGTGACATTCGAAATCGCTGAGAAGTCGAACCGTTCATTCGACAACTTAGCGAACGCTTGAACCCTTTAGAAAAGCAAAACAACATGGCTGATTGTTAGTTTGTTAGTCTGCTGTTGGTATTGTTTGCATCAATTCGTGTTTGTTTCTCGTTTTTTGTAGTTGATTATTTATTTATTTTTTTGATAAAAATGCATACATTACGTTTACTAAGAGCAGCGCATAATGAGATGAATGAGACATTTATCTTAAACTAGTTTTACGGACAAATTTCAATAGTAGTCGATATCTAAGCTTGAGGTTGCGGATTCGATCCCGGGGTCAGGCAGTGTTATTGGATTTATCCATTAAAAGTTTCTCAGTAGCAGCTTGGAGTCTGAATTTGTGTCCGGTTAACAGCAATAGGCTCACCACCTGTAACATAGGACTTGTTATATAATTAGCAAAATGTGTGTGTACGGTACAACTCTGTCCAACCTTCCATGGAATACAGACGTCATGAATTACGTACCTATAAAGTATGTTCTAATTGCTCCGTATTATCTTTACTCCGATAGTGGTCAAACCATGTTTGTGTTATGTTAGGATCACGTCATTGTTTACATTAAGCATTCTCAAGTGATATAAATCAAGTTTATGGTTTAGGTGAATAATTCCTTAAAAAGGGTCGAAAGTTGTTCACCACTAGCTCCCACCCTTGGTTCCATTATAATTATCCTTAAAAATAAAAACAGTCAGTTCCCGCTTGTTTATCGTTATAAATATGTAATATACACAACCATTGATATCCAAAAAACTTGTGTAATTTTGGCACTCACAATTAATTGACGAAGTTAAGGAACTTACCTTTGAATTCTTTAGTTAACACCGTTCTTAACACCAAAAACTCCACTTTCACCAATGATCTTATTAAGATCATTGACTTTCACCAAGCAAACTTAATACTCTAACAAGCTATCGAGAATGGTTTGTTTATATTTAGCGCGCCCGGTCGACAAGAAGTTGATTTTTATCGAATGAACGCTTCGACTTAACGTTATGTCACCTTGTCTACCAAGCGATCGAAAACGATCGATCACGTGATATTTCGAAAGTTTATGTCAGTTTCATACATTTCGGAGTTATCTAATTTAGTTATCGTTATTGAAAATGTAACTTTGCCCAGGGCCCGTCTCGATTTTTTGAAATTTATATGTGTAAACTGCAACTGCAAACGCTGCTGTAAAACGATTCAAGAAAAAATCCTAGTGGGGTGACTTTTAAAAATATACAAGGTATTAAAGTTACAGCCTATATACGTCCCACTGCTGGGCACAGGCCTCCGCTCATTTCTGAGAGGGTATTTGGGACAAGGAATCGACTGCCGCGCTGCCCCAATGACCCTGATACGTGTCGGCGAACTTCACATGTCTTCGAAATATTTTTTTTATTTTTCAGACATGCACGCAACACGCACCAACTGCTAAAATTTAAAACCCTGTTAGAGTGAAAATTGGGGAAAAATGAGTTGTATTTTTTAAATTCAAGTAAGGATATTTAAGAGGTCTGCAGGCAGGAGCAGGCACTTATAACCAACTTTAAACAAACAATGCATTACTTATATGCATTTTCAGCTATAAGGGCTAAAATATGATGTCAGACAGCCTATGATTCCTATAACGCTGTAATGAGTACACCATAAAGCAGACGGCTATACCACCCTAAAGTTATCGCAAACCTTTATAAGCGACAGTGAGTGCTCTTAACAGTGGTGTATTCATGGTCGTAACCAATATTTTATTCCTAAGGCATTACAAGGCGTATCCTTTAGCATCTACATGCTTTGTACGGCTATTTGTACAGTGTAAAAGCTCTGCTTGAAAACGTGGGAATTTTCTCTTATGGAGTTGGAGAGACCAAGTTTTCAGACGCGGGAGGTTGTGGTAATAAAACTTTATAAAGTTGAAATATACGAAAAATATTAATCCAAATATAGGCAATTCGTCTATCTTTTATTGAAATGTAAACGAAAATTCATTGATGTTGCTGTTATAGAAATCACAAGGACTTATTAAACTTCTTCATCATTATCATCATCAGCCTGCGGCAGTCAACTGCTGGACATAGGCCTCTCCCAAGGCGAGCCACTTAGCCCGATCTTCAGCTACACGCATCCAGTTTCTACCAGCCGCCTTGCGCAGATCGTCGCTCCATCTGGTCAGGGGGGCGTCCCACACTACGTTTGCCTAGGCGTGGTCTCCACTCCATAACACGTCTACTCCACCGGTTCTCACCTCTGCGACAGACATGACCAGCCCATTGCCACTTCAGCTTACAAACCCGGAAAGCTATGTCAGTAACCTTGGTTCTCCGGCGGAATCCGGTACTCACCGTTTACGTTAATACCGCGTCCTTTCCAGTCTAACGTCTTAAAAACATCTTCCAGTGCATTTGTAAACAGTTTAGGGGATATAACATCCCCCTGTCTGGTTTTGTTTGACTGTCCTGTACTTGGACGGACATCGTACTGGTGTTGTACAGGCATCTCAGCACTTCAATGTACCGCCAGTCAATTTGGCACCGCTGCAAAGAATCTAGAACAGCCCAAGTTTCAATGGAGTCAAAGGCTTTCTCATAGTCCACAAATGCAAGACACAGGGGCTGATTATACTCTGTTGTCTTCTGTATTATTTGCCGCACTGTGTGAATGTGGTCTATAGTGCCATATCCTCCCCGAAACCCAGCCTGTTCCGCAGGTTGAAAGTCGTCGAGTCTTTGCGCGAGTCGATTTGTGATGACCCTCGAAAACAACTTATAGACGTGGCTCAGAAGTGAGATGGGTCGATAATTTTTTAACATAGTCTTGTCACCTTTCTTGTGAAACAAGACTGTAATGCTTTTGCTCCACGCCTTTGGAGTTCTCCCATCTCGTAAGATGCAATTAAAAATTCGACAGAGCTCTTTTATCAAGGGTTGACTCCCAGCTTTTAAGAGCTCTGTTGTAACTCCATCTTCTCCAGGGGCCTTTCCATTTTTAAGTTGACCGGGGGCCAGCTCAATCTCCCCAAGGCAGATGTCAGCTCGTCGGTATAGGGGCGGGTCAGCGTGACTCGGATCATCGCATTTAGGGTCGGGTTGTGGCTTATGTGAGGCATATAGTTTGCCATAATAGTGTTCGATCTCAGAGAGAACCTCAGGCTTTGACATGAGGACTTTGCCATCATGCGTCTGGAGTTTTGCAATGTGACTTCTTCCAAGCTCCCGAACAAAGAATTTGGATCCCTTGTTTCGGTCTATTGCCGCTTGTATAGCAATTGTATTGGAGCGACGCAGGTCC